GAATAATATTTCAAGTAGAAATATCGAGCAATGGTCAGACACGCAGCGATTCGTTCGCGCGAGAATTTATTTTCTCGGAAACGAAGGCTTGTTATAACAACAATGTTATTGTATGTTTTCGCTGAATTTTTATTCGTGAAATCATCCCTCTACCCTATTGTACCACTCACCCTGATGCACCCAGCATGCATTGCATTTGTATGGCTAGTATTTCCAATGCAACGTATGAAACACGATCTTCAGTGTTGAATATCTCATAAAGTGTTGACTGCCTTCGCAAAATGGCTGAATATGAATCTAATATTTTTCGATTCCAAGCCCGTCTATAAAATTTCACTGAAATAGGTGCACGGCACTTCACGCGAAACGGAAAAATACGAAACAGAAACTATTTTCGGAAGTTTCGATGTAGATTTTCGAAGCTCTGCTGATATCATCTAAACGAAACCTGCAAAGTATTTTATTTCATACGATAAAGGGCTTAACTTTGCTCTGATGAAAATCCATAGATTAAATTTTCCGCCCCAAAAAAGCCTCGAAGGTTCAATTTTTATCACGAAAAATCACAGAAGCATTGGCGGAATAATTTTTTATTACGATATTTCGGCCACATCCTCCCTATCGTTATCCACCCTCAGCGGTAGCTTTTTTACATCCGAAAGAATAGAAAAAGGAAACGCAGAAACGATTAGTTATTCCATTACACTGCGAAATTGTTTAAAACAGCGACTGCAGCCCCGGTGGAGCACAGAATACACTTAGCTGCGTAAAGGCTGGCTCGCGACTCGGGATAATAAATGGAAAACAGAGGGGCTGAGAGGGATGGCGAAAAATTGAATGTCCTCGTAGAGATCTACGAGAGGACATTGTAGTTTTTTTTCCCCCGCGGCGTTCAATGTCGGTCGAGTAGACAACCGAGCTTAAAAGGGACCGTCAACTTTGAAGATTTACGCGGCGTCTGCTCGCAAGAACCGTCCAACTGGACGCTGTCTGCTCGCGTAAAAAAAAAAAAAAAAAAAAACATGATTAATCGAGGGACCCCAAACTTCTTTGGCGCTGCTAACCAAAGTCTCCAAGCGTTCTTTCGTCCGGAGGGTGCAAGTTTCTCTGCGTTTGATGGTTATGAGGTTTGTTACGGGACTGTTCCACGATTATTGGACTCTGTTCCTACCAAGTTACCGCGGTGCATGCTCCTACTAAGTGTGAGTTCAACTGTTCTTTCGGCCGTAGTCGTTTAATTTAGTGGGAGGCCGTGGAACTCGATTTATTTTTCGTTGCCTACGGGGACTTCGCGATTTAACTCCTTACAATCCAATTTATCTTCAGTTGGTGGGAATAAATCGTGTGGCAAAATATTGACGGACGTTGGCGGGAAGAATGCGTTTGGTGGGCCTTCTAAAGCATTCTGTATTTATATTTTACCTCGTTGTAAATGTAGAAATGTTTACATTTTAGTCATATCAATTTTGAAATTCAAGAGACATTTCATTTGACATTTGATTTTCATTTCACTCGAAAGGAACACTCTTCCCCTATATCATATCGAAAGATAAAGAATAATATTTATTCCACGTTCATGGAAGATTGATGGATGACTATTCCTGTCGATCGAAGGATAAATTCAATCCAATTCCAGTGTGTACTTTTTCCTCTCAAGTCTCAGGTGCAACTTCCACTCTGTCTCTCAAGTTGCCCCTGGTTACCGTAATTCCATTCATACCTACCTGCTCGAGTCCAACCAAGGAAAAGAATTTCTTAGGCCCTTGCCGAATTAAACGAGACACCGCGTAGAATCCTCAGGACGAGGGCGGGCGCCATTACCATAAAATTAACTCCTCAACCCGAAACCAGCCACTCGAAAGTTCCTCTCCTCGAGCAGGAAGATCGTACTTCACACCTGTTAAAACGTCGCGACCAGCCGCGTCACGGTTCGCGCGTCTCGAAGACTCGGGTTAAAACTTGGTCGTTCGTAATTACGCCAACGTCCACTCGAGGGAGGCGTCTCCTCCGAGGGGGGACGCTCTCTGCTCCAGCGGGAGACGCTCCTCCGTTCTCCTGGAAACAAAGCTCGCAGCTTGCGGACTCGTGCAGGAGACGCGGCGCGTTTAAAACGTCAGCCATCGGGAATTTCAGAATAATTATTGCACACCGCGAGCATTGTTCTTGTCGTACGTAGACGCGGGGAATATGTAACGGGTGGGCGACGTGAATTGATCGATTTGAGTATTTTTGGAACGGTCATGTGAGAAAATTGTTGGTGGCAAATGTACAAACCTTCTCGCCATCCATCTTTTATTCGTCATAGAGAAAAATGATGAAGCGTTACCGTTATCCATCTTCACTAGCAATTTTGCGGGCACGCTGCTAATACTCGGTGAATCGAGCCGTGCTTAGGACGCTTCCCTTCGTCATTCAGGCCTGTAATCATCGTCCGTGGCTGCCCTATTGATACCTATCGCGATAGGATCGATCTGAATTACAAACTGCGCTCGCCATTTTGCTCCATGCGACAACGCGTGACACGTGATACATGCGACTGCAACGTTATATCACAGGACCTGTTTGAGGACATTTTAAAAGTAACTCCAGAAATGAACAATCTTCTCAAATATTTTAAATGGATGTGGTAATGGTAGTCTGACGAAGCGCAATAAAATGATTAAATGTTTCGAAACTGGTCTATCGACAATGGAAAAGTTGAATATTATTATTACATCGCTGAATGTCTTCGTTCGATTGTATTCACCAAACAGCAATGGTAATATTACTATACACATCACTTAATTGATTGATTAGTTTCACAGCTCGAAACGTCAACTGAAAAGATTCAAAGAATAAAGACTTGACGTTTCATTCGACTAATGGCGTTCTACCATTGTGTAGCCGCCGTTCGAATCAATACCACCCAACGTATTAATTACTTAACATTTTCGCTGGAGGATTGATCGCGGATTTCTCGTCGAATCGATAAAAATGTGTACCCGGTGTTCCCTCACAAAAGGACTCGTTGCAATAAAAAATAAACAATCGCTACAGCCACATAAACGTATATATTTTCTACGCGAAGCTGCTCTCGAGGTTTTGGAAAATTTGATCATGCTCTGCGATAAATTACCATCCCGTTGCCGTGAAATTGATTTCCGTTTCAGCGGTAGCAATGCATAATCTAATACGAGCAACACGGGTTTCGATGCAAATGCACCCTTTCAGCCGATAGCTTCGGCTAGCAACGAGGAGAAAAAGGACACGCGTAATCCAGTCGATATATACCCGTAAAGAAGATAACGTTATCGACGCCCAACGAAACAATTCGTTTAGACCACGTTTACCTCCCTAGGACATTTTTCAAGCACTCGTGCGCACATTCCTGGTAATAAGAGCCGAGATCGAGCTTTATTTCCTGTTTACACGTGTGCAACCTCAATTCCCGGTAGCGTTCATTCATCCCCATGCGAATTCCGTTTCGTATTAAAATTCAAACGTGGCTTTCTCACTAGTTTTCCATATTCTGGAAGCGTCTCTCTGTTCGTTTGAATGGATCCTTCGATCGTCGTTTCGTTACGCGATAGTATACAGTGATAGTAATGGTAAAGAAAACTCTCCTTATAAACCCATCAACAGCCTAAATATATTGATTTCATACTTAAGTCACAATATTAGTCATATTGTCTGCAAATATGATTTACACTAGATAATTAAGAGTTTATAATTTTCTTAAATACAGTTAGATCTCACCGACACCTTCTTTCCCTTAAATTGTTTGTATATTAATGAACATGACAAAATAAGTACCTCTCTGCCCAACTTTTCGATCTTTAAATAGTGTTTCTTGCCATATTATGCCTAGAAAACTCGGAGCTACTATTATTAATAAACGCAGTCAGACCTACCACCGTCTTTTTCCCCTCGAAACGTTTGAAATTCACGAGGAAATAACCACCGAGTCAGCCTCAAAGCGGAACGCGATGACAATCGGTAGCACGATTGCTAATAAAGTGGAACAGTGGAGCGAAAATAGCGCAACAAGTGCAGTTGCAGCAACGACAGCTGGAGCTGCAGTCACGAGTATCATATTAGAAATCCAGCCGCATTATCCTGGCGAGTTTATTCCTCTAGAGCTCTGTTTTCTCTTCCTCCACCCCTTCCCACCCTCGCACCCATCACTCGCATTATCTAGAGCGTGCGCTTTCGTGCTTACCTCTATTGTTTATTTCGAGGATTTTCTTATCTCTTGTCCTGGGCGTCGTGTTGCACTTCGACGCGCCACTGAACTTTCTTTCAAACCTCTACTTCGCGTTCCCACGGATTAGCGAGCGGAGGAACTTGAGTACTGCATTCGGTGAAGGAATTTTTAAGCGTTTACGCGATTCCTCGATGATAATCACTTCGATACGAAAAGGTAGACTGGTGCTATGATAACAGATTTTCGTGATATTATTCATTGCAGGAACATGTAGAATATTCCAGAGAAATAGAAATTCTTCTATTTCTTGTTTTGTTGCTGATCATAACACTTTTTCTGATAGACGATTATGTACTAGATTCGTATTGTAAGTCTTTAATTTTATATGATATAATTAGGTATCAGAGTAATTAATTTTTTCCATAGTGGTCCAAAAAAAATTTCTTGATCATTATTATTCAGAATCTCACAGTTATATAAATTTGATATCTCGTGATAGCGACTCTGAACTTTGTACAAAAGCATTGAGTCACTATAGTAACAGTCTGAATTCCCAACGCTCGTTTAATTAATCCTTCATTTACCAATAAAGCATTTTAAATTAAATGCTCATTGAAAGAAAAGATAATGTTTCACAACCCCCCATTAATTATTCATGATTAAAGCGCCTAGTATTTCAGCTCCCGAGTGATTAATATAGTATTTATTAATTAATAAAGCGAAACGTCGCGTTCCACGTTGGAATTATTCGCAGCCAACGGCGGAATAAATTGAGGAAACATGAATGAGGTTGGACATCAATTTTGTTTTCAGCGCCGACGGTAACTACGAGGTGACCATTATGACCAAGGCGATTTTGCACCATACCGGGAAGGTCGTGTGGAAACCGCCAGCGATCTATAAATCATTCTGCGAGATCGACGTGGAGTACTTTCCCTTTGACGAGCAGACCTGCTTCATGAAGTTTGGTTCGTGGACTTACGACGGATACACGGTGAGTAACAAGATTTACCTAACAATCTACCGGCATTTCTACGGTGATTAATCATCATCAAGATGTTCGCCACCGTGAGACATTTAGGGTGGAAGCATGGTTCACCGTACTTGGTTCACCGTAAGAACTTCGATTATTAGACAGTTCAAACGTTAGACACGTGTAGCTGTTAATTGTTCGACGGGGAAGCAATTAGAGCTTCCTTCGGGGTGAAACGAGTTTCTTGCTAGGGAAAAATTTGCTTAGAATTTTGTTATGAATTTTGTTTTTCAATATCTCATCGTTATTACTTGGAGACATTTTCGATTTATAATATCAAGTAGAGCTTCAATATCTTTATTCATTGCCTCCATTTTATCAGTTTTATGCTTTCCGTTACTCTATCCATATAAAGGTATTAAAGTCTCGGGAAAATGAATACGATTTAACCCGCCATGCATAGCAATTTCAGTTCTGCATAAATTTCAAACTTACAAAACCAAGTAAATATTACGAACTTACGAAAGTTACCGCGTTGAAGTGTTTGTAAAATTGTATTAGCGAAAATCGATCGTTTCTCGAACCCAGGATGGTCATCCATCTTCGTGGTTCGTACTTTCTTTTGGATGGCGATAAGGAAACCCCTTCAACGCCACGACAGACTTATCAACGTTCGCACGAGTCGCGTTTCAAAGAAATACACTGGCCCAGATATCGCAATTCCTCTCTCAAAAATTGAAAATCCTGATTCCTAGTATTTTTTAACTGACGAATAGTAGAGAATTTTAACCAATTTTTCACATATAGTATAGTATATTCAATGATTATTCTTTATTCGTTTCAACCTTGTCTTTGCATCTTCTTTGGTGACATTTCAAAATAGATAATCTAATAATTTCATTTTTGCCAAGCAAAAAGCCTTTATACATTAAATCCCATCAATAATATAACTTTTTCGTCATTTCCATTTGAAGATTTACTGCAGAAATTAACGTTAAACATATTTACGCAACTTAACTTTTGCGTTAACACCTGTCGCATCGATCCCATCGGTCAACAATTCGGACCCCAAAAAAATAAACAACCACAGAAATGATTTACTATCTGTAACTTCACTCTGTAATCCTACATTAATCGAAACGAAAACACTCAATTTTCACCGACGAGCCTCGAAAAATTTGTTTTTTTACTCCCCGTGACCTGTAAACTCGTGTTTGTGGACACGAATACATACATTTTTCAGAAGAATTTTTATCTTCGTTGTCCAAACGACGCGACACCCGCTCACGCTGTAAAATCGAACAACCCTTTGAGCATTCCATCGTCCAACGAATGGAGTTCTCGTTTTGTATTAAACATTTCACGCGCAAATTTTTACGTCTTGCGCACTGTGTAAAACTGGCATCCATCTTCGGGAACGTAAAACTTTACGCCGAATAAAAGTGTTATTCGCGTTGTTCCGTCGTTGTGTACCTTCGTTTTCGCGAAATCAATATGGAACCCGTGAAAACATTCCGTTACAGGGGACGGGCGGCCAGTTTAACAAAGCGTTACGCGGTTTTTATGTTACTTTTATCGCGTACAGCGAGCAATCGATTCTGGATTGGCTGCTACAGTGTCATGAATGTTGGCGAAGGTTTTTCAGGTGAAACCACTGTGATATTTCGTCGAACCGTAATATTTTTAATTACCGATTTAAATGTACATATTTTACTTGATTATCGTGCCGTATGTCTTAGGAACACAGTGCAGTATTTAAATAACTTTGAAAGTATTTTGATTGATTATCACGTTGTATGCAATTGGAAATGCAAGATAATAGAAATGAATAATAAATAGTCTAATTATAGAAATCCAGAAATGATAGGAAACTAAGAATAGACAACATTTTTTTAGCATTTGCTGAAAGCTTTGTCGAGTTTTTTTTTTTTTTGCTTAAACTTAAAGTGAACTTAAAGCGAAAGTAACAAGAAAATAATTTGTAAATAATTGAAAATATTGATCAAAGAAAATTGTGTCTACGTTTTACGTTCTTTGTTCAACGAACGAGTGTGTTCCTCCCTTGGAAAACTTCCAAGAACCAAGTCACGAAAAGGGAAGTTTTTCTTGGTCATCCCCTGCCTCTCTGGAGACGGTGAATTTTCGAAAACGGCAAATTTGGAGTAAATTTACGACGCGAATCGGCGTTGTTCTTCGTTTGAATACTAATTAGACAGCCCAGAGCTCTGCTCGGGGCGGGAAAATTTCGAGTCCATGAGAGACTGTTTGCGGTAGAGATTAGGCGCGCGCTGTAATCTCCAAGTCAGAACTTAGAAAAACTTTGGCTGACTAACGACGTGGTAAACTCGGTCACGTGACGTACTTACTGATCTTGAAGATCTCGCTAAAGAACATTTTTTTTGTCCGTTAATAGCTTTTTCTTTAAACTCGTATAGGTCGAGTCTAGAACCTCAATTTACTGTCACACAATTGCCACAATTTCGATTAGTTTCCCGTCATTAACCCTTTGAGTGCGAAGGTTGATTGCGACGAATCAATTTTTAAAAAATATCAGCTTATAAGGGATGATGAGACGAAACTCTTGTATATTTACAGTTTATTCATAGGATACTTTGTTTCGAAAATAAACATCGATTTTTATCTCTGAAACTAAACGTCGTACGAATAAACTGTAAATATAAGAAAAGTTTCGTTTTGTTATTCTCTATAAGCTGATATTTTTTTTGAATTCACACCCCTACGCCTCTTAGAATTTCGAGCAAAAATCACCCCGCGGTTAAAGGGTTAATTTGTCATTCGACACCTCAAAAGCTGGATTCAGGATATTTTTGCGACGAAGGCGCGAATGTAGGATGCAACGATTTTTCTCGATATTTCGCCCCCACACGTGTCGATCGCACGTCAAGTGACGCGCTCGAATCGACAGGTGCATTTTCTGCTGGCCAAAAAACTCATTGACTGGAATATGAATGAGTCGGTATCGGACCTTGTAAAATTCTCGGCCAAACTGCAGGGATTGCTTTAACTTCTCACGCCGCGTCTGAACTACATATTTATTACGTTAGAAGTTACGCTGACGGTTCCGTTCAGTCCTGGTTTCAACATTTTTCTTTTACAAATGTTTACGATAATGACAGGAACACAAGCAAGAAAAATATTTATAATCTGCATAGAAAAATGAAAATTTGCTATTGCCAAAATTGGCATGAAATGAACATCAAATTGCGGTCGTGTCGCAGTTGCAGTTTCTGTTCTAGAATGAACCCATTGCGTGGAATATGAATGAGTCGGTGGCAGGTCTCATAGAATTCTCGGCCAAACTACCCTAGCGCGAGGAAAATGTTGCTTTAACTTTCCGTGCCGCGTCTAAACTATTTATTACGTTAGAAGTTACGTCGACAGTTCTATTCCCCGATGTTTTTCTTTCATTCCCTTCCGTCCGCGGCGCGGCTGACTCCCTGGGGCATCAGGATTCTAAAGCATTCGAACGCTATACGTTGCCACGTTCCATAGAATAATTCATATAGCTGCAGCGCCGCCGCCAATCTTCGATGAATTACTTAACCGGCCGCCGTTCTTTCGCTGTGTTGCACGCGATGAGAATATTTTCTATCGACGGCTGAGCGTGTTTTCGCGACACGTTATATATTCATACGCGTCTGGCACGGTTTCGTCGCGATAGTCACGATAACCGTTCGATCGGGTACTCAACGTGATTAAATTTCCAATCGTGTTCTTCCCCCGCTCGATGAAAACGATTTCCACCGATCCGAAGTGTTTGAAGCCGACACGAACGGATTTCAGATCCCCAGAAAAATTTGACAACTTCCCATCGACGGTTTCCTAATCTCCGTCGTGAAATGTTGCGGGAAAAATCACGATAGGACGACGTCCGTGCGACTTGACCATATATTTTACTCTGTCAGTGTGAGTGGTTAATATAGAACTCTAGTTGGTCGACGAATTTATCAATTTGTATTACCTGCGGAGAGAGCTGATTTAGCGACAGAGTGTTCTGCATTATCGAGCGATCAGAATACGGTATTGACTGCGTTCCTTTGCTATGCTACTTCACCTAAAGAAATTTGAATTTGATTCAGCTCCTTCCCTTAACTCAGCTTGAGTGCTCCGTCTTTAATGTAGTTAATTCCGTCGATAAAACTCGATAATGTAGAGCCCTAGGTGGACCATGAATTTATCGACAATGCCTCCTGCATTATTTGCAGCGCAGTCTAATTTATCGGTAGATAACCCAGAGATGATACATTGAACCCATATAAAGTTGTTGAATTGTGAAACACGAATCTCGAAAAGACAGTAACGTGATGCAAGGTGTCGCGACAGTTCAATTATTATTTCTCTCTGAGTATTTCTCGAAAGGGTGAGTTCTACTCTTCATTAGTAAATGTCGCGAGTTAGTTTCCAACTCTGATTCATCTCTCGGCACTATTCATCCGCTGTCAGGCATCAGCCAGCGTCGTACCCGATCCCAGCGACCGTCTACAAGACAGCAGAGATATCTGATACCCCGCATGAAACGCGAGATTCACGAGAAGCCTCGGGACAATGGATCATTAAAGACGTTCGTAGAATGGAATCCGTTTTCTCTATGGTAGAACGGAGCTCCTTCGATACCGTAGAAAGTTCAGAGACACGGTTCACGCCAGGAACGCCTTTCGATTCACTTTTGTCTCTTCCAAGCGATCGACTGCTCGTAGTCTCTGAATTCTCGCCGAGATTCGCGCATTTCATCAGCACTGTTGATACTGACAAAAGACTTTGTCGTTTAGCTTCTATCGAAAAGTGTCGTTGGAAAGTTATGAAATCCCCTCTCCGCCACGCCAGGAAGATGTGCACGAGGCCGTCGATCGCGGAGATTGACTCCCCATCGCTTCTTCTCTTCCACCTCGAAACGAGCGTTCACGCTTGGCTGAAAGGAAACACCAACCAGCGCGATTTTTCGAATCCTTCACTTCGTCGGTCTCCTTACGCGAACTTCCATCCAAGAATATCGTTGGCGTTTGAGTATCTCCCGATACGAGGTAAACCGTACTAACAGACGTCGATAAAACGCCAGCTTTGATAGATTCCATTCGAAAGAGGCTGCTGAAAGCCCTTTTCCGTTCGCGTTCTATCGAAGGCTTCTAACATGCAGAATTCTAGAGAATCCTAGCCGATCTTAAGTAGTCTGGGTCGGAAATTTCAATCCAAGCCTAGAGAGTTTTTGTCGTAAATGGTAGCAAGCATCTTGAAAGAAAATTCTAATAATCGACTCCATTTAGCAGTCTTCGATCGATTTATTTGTGCTTTTAGTGGTCTTTCGACATCTCTCAGCCTAAAACCGGCTACATTTCTCTCGCGAGAAATATTTCATGCTGTTGGTCACCACTATAGACGTATAATCTCTCCACACTGTCGGAACTCCCATGGCAGGCATCGACAAAACGTCACGATTCATCGGCGCCGTTTTTGAAGAGTCTTCTCGCTTTGCCAACGCCCCTCTCCCTCCCCGGACATTGATGAAACTTTTCCCCAGCAGTATGACGGATGTGTGTGTTTCGGTCCCTTGTTTTTCCTTCGATTCCCTGCTCGCCTGATCGCCCACGTTTCCATAAATCGATGGATTCGTGTCCAACGAAACGAAACGACCGTGTCTCGAAATTACTGATTGGAATTTCTGGTGTTTGTATTCTCTCCATATTTATTCAAATCTAACGAATTCGCACTTATTTTTAGATTTTTTTCATATTTTGAGTGATACATGTAGGATGACGAGTCTTACCGATTGAGTGACCTACATTGTCAGCTGAGTTGTTACCTTACCAATAGAACGATCTGCATTGCCTGCAGAATAGTTTGCCTTATCGACAGAGTGTTCTGCATTGCCGAGTTTAATCTACAGAATATTAAGTTACCAACATTTTTCATTCGTGATTAAGTACCACCAGATTCCAGAACAACTTTTCGTAGCATAAGGTGTCAGCCATTTTTGACCGAGGCTAGAATCGATTACCGATATTCCCAGTCGTCGGCAACAAGCCCCGAGAAGGGAAAAATAATTCCACTCCAGATGGAAGATCACGACGGTTACTAGCCCATCGAAATCCTCTTCCATGGTTTCCTTTCGGAGACCAGATGACCGCTCGGACCTTTCCAACGACGGACAGATTTATCCTGCCCCGACAAATTCACCTGTCCATGGATTTCAGAGGCGAGCAGCCGTTGCTGGAATAAATCCCACGTCTGGAACGATAAACCGTTCCCTGTTCCCGACGGTAGCGACCATTTTCTCCAAACTCCCCAGCTCTTTCCGCGTTTCAATTCTGTCGTCGCGTTGACATCGAGTCCCCCCTTCGCCGACCCCGAACCCGCGCAATCTGTTTGCTCGGGGAAGAAACCGTCGCGGTTTGTTTCTACCTTCTCTGGCTCCCCGAGTCGACTGAATTGTTGATGATGCTCGGAACGTACCCTGGCGAACCTGACGACAGAGCCGCTAAAAGATCCTAGGGATTCTGGATGAAATATTACGTGGACATGGATCACTGATTCGCGAGGTACACGAGAATCCTTTTACTTAGGCTGAATAAAACAATCGACGATTCGAAGCTGCCTCGGAGGAGCTTGCTGGCTTACCTAATACATCACGGGTCGAAGATAAATAGTAGATGGGCGACATTTTCATTTAGCACGGTTGGTTTGAATCTTCTATTTTGGGGTGTTCATTCTTGGATTACATGGTTACATGGCATACCGTTGGTAATGTAGTACATTTGATCGGTAATGTAGAATCTTAGTCGACGAATCTATCAGCAGAGGGTTCTACATTAGCAGCAGAGCAATCTGCTTTATCGCTCGACTGTTCTACATTAACGACTCTTATCGATAGAGGACACTTTCTACCCTACTCTATAGATACAGCTTATAGCATTAATTATTACCATGAAATAATTGAAATTCACAAAGAGATAATAATGCCTCGACCAGTTATCATAGTATCCGTCTCTCAGATAAATGTCAGATGTCAACGCCTAGACATACAGAATTGGAATTCAGCGGATGACTTTGCTAGGTCGTTACGTACATCCAGAGGAATATCACGGATATCAGGGGTGGGAGGATCCTGTTCCGGAGGTCCTTACTTTGTGTCGTTATTTTCGTTCCAATCGCGGTCTCTGGCACGATCGAGCTCGTTACTCACTTTTCCTGGGCGATTCTCTCGACAAAGGAAGTGTACAGGACATCGAGTAGAAGAGCTCGACCTACTTCGACATATCGATGGCATCGTTTTCGTTATTTCCTCCAAGACGGTCAATCGTGGTTCAACAAGTTCTCCCGGAAGACGGGGGATAATCATCGAGATGCTTCTTCTCGTTCCCCACGGTGACGTCAGCTGCCACGAGTGGCGTTTATCGTTTTCGCAAGACTGGCCTTTGTTGGATCGTTGGTATCACGTAATATCCAAAACGACCATTAATATCTGTGGACAATCGTCGAGCAAGATCGATATCTTCTCTAAGAATGATACGTGATGTATTTAAATTATTTTTCATTTACCCAACGATTTTAAGTGATCGAAGTATTCGTGTCAGGACGTGTACATGAATGTTGTCTGGATTCTTCGTCGAGCATTTCAATTACTGATGGCAAATGAGCCCTCGACGCCATGGCAAGAAAATTGGCTGTGTAGACACTGTAATGATGATGGATGTTTCGCAGTATCTGTGACATCGGACAGTGGTCCGAGGGATCTACAAGTAGCCCTTTGTATCCTGTCAGGCTTATTGTTTCTACTAACAGCTGGGAGCAACTCGCATCCTCTGCTATCTAGCAAACACCATCTGATGTATGTCTATATCCAGTTATTCGACCTAGAAGCTGCTCGATTTAAATTACAGTCTAAGCGTACAATTGCAGAGACAATATATGAATACTTTAAAAGTATTCCATATTCGTTTATTATAAATCCCGCTACTAGTGTACTATAAATACCAAAGAGATTATCAATAGGGTGATGGACTTTGTCAGTCTCGCCCACTACAGTATCTAGGTTCACGTTGTCCGAACGTAGAAGTTTAGTTGCTCGAAACGTGAGAAAGGAACATAAAGACCAGACAGACAAAATGAAGAAACGAAGGAAAGGGCTGCGGTTAACGTGGCCGGCGATCCCCTCACGAACCTATCGAAAGATCTTCTTAGAAGTGGTCCAGAGAGGATCAAGGAGCATCTTGCGAGTGGTGGAAGTTCGATGGGAGGGAGATTTGGCTCCACTCTCCGGAGTTTATTCTCGTTCCCAGATTCGACCGGTTCCAGAGAGCTGGCTACCTATCCCGCCACCCATTAGAGGTATCCAATTTCTTCCGTTCGTTCGCTTCAACCATCTTTCTGACTTTTTTTCGTTTTCTCCGACCCTCACCAATTTTTTTTTTTTTTTTTTTTTTTTTTTTACCAATTAGATAAACCTGGAAAAGAGTGAAATGTAATAGACGGGGTTTCGCAAAGTCAAGCTTAGGAAGTTTTCTAACAGCCTAGGGAGCGTAAAATAATATTTATAGTGTGATAAAATACTCCTGGGATAAGTAGTGATAGTGGTTCTAGGGTCGCAAGGTTGGTAACGTAGTGGACTCTATAGGAAAGGCTCGATAATGTAGAACACTTCGTCGATAAAGCAGTAGACTCTGTTGGAATACTAAAAATAGTACAACGAAGCTATTAGATTAGCTAAAAAATATTTAAACATGAATAATAACAGCGAGCAAAATACTAAAATCAAGACAAATGTTTCCATTGAAAAATGATTTAACCCAAGATTGACGAGTTATAGTTCTTTCTTAACAGAAGTAATTAAAATGTCCTGCGATTAATTCCCAACGAGGAACCGTCCTTCGCAGGTATTTTATTTTTGGCCGAAGGATCCCTCATTTCCCAGTTACGCGACGTCTTCTGAAAGACCCTCATTATTCATCACCCTCTCTCCCTTTGTCTCCGTTTAACTCTCAGGCACGTAGACGCGCAAAGATACACGTAACCCTCTGTCATGCGACTCCTTCCGCGTAATGCTCCTTATCAGGGACCTCAATTAGACGGTACGCCGTGATAATCTTTGAACGAACCTTCCTGGAGAAAGAAACCGTTCTCCGCTTACCAGATTATCTTAATAACGGCGCTATATTAAATATTCGATAATATGATAAAACACTCGTATCGCGCGTTTCTTTTGAATCCTCGATTAACAAAAGATTCGTTAAATTTGTCCGCAGGTCGACCTGAGGCACCTGCTTCAGACCGAGGAGTCGAACCGCATCGACGTCGGCATCGACCTGACCGACTACTACATTTCCGTCGAGTGGGACATCATAAAAGTGCCTGCCGTGAGGAACGAGGCGTTCTACATATGCTGCGAGGAGCCCTACCCGGATATCGTGTTCAATATCACTCTGCGCCGCAAGACCCTCTTCTATACGGTGAATCTGATCATACCGTGCGTGGGCATATCTTTCCTCTCGGTGTTGGTGTTCTACTTGCCCAGTGACAGCGGTGAGAAGGTCTCGCTGTCGATCTCGATACTCCTGTCGTTGACGGTGTTCTTCCTGCTGCTGGCCGAGATCATACCGCCCACGTCGTTGACGGTGCCGTTGCTTGGCAAGTACCTACTGTTCACGATGGTACTGGTCACCCTGTCCGTGGTGGTGACGATCGCCGTTCTGAACGTGAACTTTCGCTCGCCTGTCACCCATCGTATGTCCAACTGGGTGAGGGTGGTGTTCATACAAGTGTTGCCGCGGTTCCTCTTCATCGAGAGACCGAACAAGGACGACGACGACGAGGACGAGGACGACGGTAGAAACGGCGGCGTCGGTGTCGTCGGCGTGAACGGCGACGGCGATCCGATCGACGACGAAGACGATGACGACGACGACGACATCGAGGCGACCAACGGGAAACAGAACGAGGGCATGCTCACCGATGTGTTCCATGTACAAGAGACTGATAAGTACGACGCGTACTACGGCAAGAGGTTCAGCGGAGAGTACGAGATACCCGCGCACGGGCTGCCACCCTCCGCGACCAGGTACGACCGTGGAGCCGTGGCCACGGTTGGGCCCGTTGCGCCATGCTTCGAGGAGCCGCTACCCTCGCTGCCACTGCCCGGGGCTGACGACGACCTCTTCGGACCGGCCAGCCCCGCTTACGTCCACGAGGACGTCAGCCCCACCTTCGAGAAGCCGTTGGTTCGCGAGATCGAGAAGACCGTCGACGACGCCAGGTTCATCGCTCAGCACGCCAAGAACAAGGACAAGTTCGAGAGCGTGAGTACTACTTCCATACGTATCTAGGCTTCTGTAAGGTCCTCTTCTAACGGTAGGAATGTTGACGCAATGCACCTGCAAACTAGGAACCTTGTTGCTCTTGAGTTTTTCTAGTGCAACCTCGTTTTACGTCTTAACATTGTTCATTATCCTGTTAGGATTGTTCATTTTTGCTGGAAATTCTAAGAGGCGTAGAGGTGTGAATTTAAAAAAAAGTATCAGCTTATAGAGAATAACAAAACGAAACTTTTCTCGTATTTACAGTTTATTCGTATGACGTTTCAGAGACAAAAATTAACAACTTACGAGACTTTTCCCCTGAAATTTAATTTTTCCAACGAACTTCTAACTTTTCAACGTATATTTTCAAAACTATGCATCCCGTGGATAAACTGTAAATATGTAAAAGTTTCATCGCATCATCCCTTATAAGCTGATATGTTTTAAAGATCGATTTAACGAACACAAACATTTCTCGAGTTAAACGTTAGACACTATTTCCTTTCTCTATACATCAAAGTTGAATGAAATTTGAATTTTCAATCTCCACCGCCATCTATTTATTATCGTGTAATTTTCTCCTCGTCCTGCAAGTGTTATCCGTAATCGTCATCAACAACCGATGCCCCGAGTTGGAAAAGTAGAACGACGCAAATAATAAAAGCACGCTCGTTCGTGTTCGCCGTGAGAGTATCAAACGTATTGATCACGAAGGCTGATCGAAAGAACGCTCTTTAATCTATAGGAGTAATCCCGCGTCATGGAATCGGTAATGGACCGGTGCGAATCACGGCAAATCGACCCGGAGCTAGCTGTGATTACCAGCCACGGCCTAGCCCGGGTCAGCGAAAGCAAATTATAACGAATCAGCCACGGCAGTCCTGATTCAAAACCCGATAGGGTAGCAGCGGTAGTATCGGATCGTATTAATCAGCCGTAAGCGCCTCAGAATCCGATTGCTGTTAATAGCTTCGTTTCCGATTGTCCGACGCCATTCGATTTCGACGATTCCTTCGATGGAATGAACCGTGCAAGAAGTCCTGCGGGTTAATAGGCGAAACGAGATTCAATCTGCCCTCTTCTTAATCGAGACAACGCACAAGCGGAGAACTAATTGTCGCGGTACCATTCACTGATCGGATATTTACTACTGAAGAAGGTACGAGAAGAGACGTGCTTCGGGTGAGAATAACGTTTGTACGAATTAAAAGTGTCAACGTATTGAATTATAAACAAACGAGCGGCCATTACTCGGATTTTCTGTTGGAATGTCCACTCTTACAAGACATTCGTAAGATTTTTAGAGAAATATTGATCTCCAGATATTTACAAATGAAAAATGTCCAATGCGCTTTTGTTTATTCATTTCTACGAATCCTTAGTTTCAAGGACACCGTCTCAGATAGAAAAATTCTCCTATTTCCAGTCATATTTCGACCGTTCCACAAAGGAACTAATTTTTGCCAAGCATCTTACGTCTTCAAAAAACACGAAGCCTGCTAGTGACGACCTCAGAAACAGCATCGTTCTTCTCCAACCTACCACAAAGATGTTAAAGCGATCCTTAACGGATCACATTTCGCCTCGAGAGCAAACTTGTCCAACCCATTTATTCCTATCGTGAAAGGTAGACGAGCTGCTCGGATGATGACTTCCAAATGCCTAGCTTACCACGTGTAACGCATCCATACGTGCTCCGTACGAAGACAGACGGTTCAGGTACGCCGATATCGTGCACGGTATCGACAGGGTTTGTCGTAATCCCCGCGAGCGGGCGCGTCAAGTATCCTCTATCGAATTACGTTCACCTCTCTCCCGTTTCGTGGAATCAATTCTGGTTACCGTGGCGCGGTGTGCCGACGTCGAGAGCCAACCATAACCGATCGTTACCATCGTTCCAGTCATTTTCCATTTGGACTCCCCTCGAAATCGGTCCGCGTGCCGCAGATGCCAACGAGCGTCCCGCGGCGTTCGCGTCGAAAGTGCGCTAACGTTCCGTGACAAGAGTTTTAATTAAAATCGTGATTTCCTGGCTGGCTCGCGGAACTTGAATGAGAGAGGAAGAGAGAAAGAATAGGGAGCCAGTTGGCCAGCGTCGGCGCTCGCGAGAGCTCGTCGCCGAAGGAAAAAGAATGTCTACACGCGGTGGGCGATGAAGACAAAAGGACGGTGAGTTCTTTGAAGACGGTGGCAGCCTGGTTAGCGTATTATTAGTTGGGCAAACTACCCCTTTAACGTCGCCCGGCACGCTCCTGCATCGCGTTCCGCCGTGAATAGACGAGTTAATCAGCTCAGCTCCACGCTTTGACTTCGCGCAAAGACCTGCTCTGGCCCTAACGCCAGAAGACGAGTGTCCTGATAAGCTGGCCAGAGGTCGCGATCGTTCACCACCAATCTTCGCGACGCTTGAGTTGTAGGGCCGTCGACTACGCGAACAAATCACCGGACTGTCTGGTCAGGTTCGGGATTTTCCACTTTGGCGGAACACTGGTAGGCTTTTCCACTTTGAACACTGGTCAAGACAAGAAGTCGTGAAGAAATATTGAAATATAATTTTCAATTTCTTCTGGGTGACATTGCCATTGGAAGCTATCCAAGCTCAAGCAAACAGACACAGTCCACTCTTCGTCGTTGAATGAAAATAATGAATCACTTGTCTCGACCGATTGTCAATTATTGGCTCTCTAGACTGCCCAAGAAACTGCCGGACAACCTCTCGACAACTCACAAGAAACTCTTGTCTTCTTGTAACTAAGATTGTCCACGTCGTACAAGAAACTCTACAATCTCCAACATCTCAAGAAACCATTATATACTCTCACAAGAACCACAATTCCTTCCAAATGAAATCCACGAAGAGCTAAGCTAAATTCCTCGCATTAAACGTATCCACTTTGTCTGACTAATCACGAGGCTATTCCACCGGAGAAATAAACTCCAACCCCCGTCCGCATCGATTAAAAAGCACTACCACGGCGTGGATTCCCGTCAACAGCGTCCTCGCCCTGGTATTCGGAGTGAACGGTAACAAAGTTTTAACGACGGATAAGCTCGCCGAAATTCCCCAAAAATTACAAGCGTATCGTACACGCTACGCGCGCGTGTTTGCGTCAAAGTTTCCCGCATCGGGCGACTTCGTCGCAAAGTTCAGCTTCGAAGAGGTAAAACTCCGGGAATTGGTTCAGACGTTGACGTCCTTCCCCGTCCAGGGAATTTCGAAGTTGAGACACTCGTCCGGGCCAGCCGTAAATTCGAACGAATTTATGCTTCCCATTTCATATTCGCACTGGAACGAGCGGCGTGGCACACTTCTGTCGAGTAACTCGTGTATCGAGTTTACCCGTGTTCGAGCTGGGAGAAATCCTCGCTCTCCCTTCGAGGGGACAATATTCGAAGCAAGCCAGGTTTGATGGCCTTGGGAAAAGAGAATTTTTCACGTGCGCCTTTGCATCTCGAACAATTTGGAGACAATATTTTATTTATTTTATGACTTTATTCGTTGTAAAACAGAAAGACGGATGTACAAATTGAATACCTGAGAAGAGAAAGCAGGGTGCAAAGGTGAGATTCAACAAACTGATGCTTCGCAATGGAATCTTAGAAACTTAAGTATAACTTGGAAATACGAAGTGTTACCGAAGACAAGATAACTTCTAGGTTAAGAGAAACGTAATTCCAAGGAGCCCACAAGGAGTACACAAGGAGTACACAAGTAGGGTGATCCAGTTTCCACGAAAGAGGCATCCTCGAGCAGTGGCATCTTGTTTAGGATCGAGAGGAGGATCGCAGTACGTGGAAAGGAGGGATAGCTGATAATCAACGCGGAGAATTTCGAGGGCTTTAATTGCAACTCACGTAAAATCCTCCCAGCACGAAAGCATACAGGGGATCCAAGATCGAGTAGTTTCAAGAATCAGACTGCTTAATTCTCCCTCGGAAGCTTCCTTGCACACCGCTAGATCGCTTCCTTTTGGGATACTTCAAACTTCCTTCATGTCGCGAATGAGATTCCTCCACCCAGTTTTCAATCGTCTCGGTTGCGATTGAACTCGATCGAAAAAAAATCGTGGCATCGAATCGAAACGCGCCCGACTTTGCAGGTGGTTCGATGGCGCTGGAGATTAACAAATTTGTCGACGCAACGGGTGGCACACCTGCTTCCCGGAAGTTTGGAGCTCACCGACTGACCGTCGGTCCATGAAATCCGCTCCAAACACTCGTTCTGTGGCGTTTAAACGGATCACGAAACAGTTAATTTCGCGACAGTTTGCGGTCCAGCTACGCGCGCGGACGGAAACTACCGTCTCGTTTTAATCTCTTTAGAGGGAGACGTGTGTCCGACACAGTTGAGTATTGTCGGTTGAGTGTTGTTGCGTGGGCGTGTAGGTCCTTCGAGACGTGACGCTATCAGTTGTGGAACTGATGGACGTGCAGGAATTCAAATTAATAGATTCAAAGTTAGATATGGAAGGCCAGAGAGGTAGAGTTAACGAGTCAGAAAATACATGAAATATATATTTAAAAAATAGATACACAATCGGGCCCATAAGTATTCGTGCCTTCTGTGCTTATTGAAGAGCCTAAATTAAACGAATGGTTTGATGTTTTCAAATGAAATTTTGTTTTTGATTTTTGAGACGAATTCATCGAATACATGGCCATTCAAGGTTCAATCATCCATGCATAGAAAATACGAGTATTTATGAAACTGACTTTAAACATATTTTAAGAAATATATTTATATTAATATAGGGTTTCTATTTAACAAAAAAGCAACAGAAGTTTCCTAGCGATACCATAATGACTTTGCCAAAAAGGCAAAAACACGGGCTGTCCATATTTTTTTTTATAATACTTAAAGGTATGCCTCACATATTAATTTGAATAGCACGAGAATAAGTGGCACGAACTTTGACCCAATGCAGTAACTTCCCAGTATCGGGCCATTCTTTCCCAACCCTTTAAACAGCGAAATACAGTTGGTGCTTTCAGCGACGCAG